ATAAGTATATGAATCTTGTTACTTTTTTTAATATATCCTTAAAAATAAAAAGTTTTTTTTCTAAACCGCAACTAATTTTTTTATTGCATTGTCATTTTTGGATTCAGCGCCACAAAATTAACAAAGAAGTGCACTTTTTCCACAAGATACAATTAAAAAACTAAAATTTGTTGTCCAGTGTAATTATATTCACTGTACACTGTCGAATTACAAGCCATATACATGCTAACAGTAATTACACAGAATGCGGGCGCGGTGATCATTTCCCGTAATTCTGCTCAGTTTTTCGTAATTTATATTGAACATAACCTCTCTCCAGAAAGCACAACATAAGAATAACCCGTCAGGCACAGCCAATAGATATACCTGTACTTCATTGGCAGCATATTCAGTAATGATTTCCTCACACAGCAAATATCAGTGATTTTATACATATGCAGACCAATACACGTAATCATCCAGATGCGATCTTGCTATTCAACCAACTTTCTTCTCAGAAATAAAAACTACAGACAAGGACCGTTTCGCCTCACAAAACTATGCAACCAATAATGCGTGTATCGCTTAGTTGAGTGATTCCCCCATAGATGGACGTTCACAACGATCCTAGTGAGCAAATGTGGAATGACTGCTTGCGCCCTAAAAAACTATCTAGTCTGCAAGTTGACATCTTATAGGTTTCTTTGACGTTTTGTAGGTTTCTTACATGACACCCGTACCGGAAATCTTTTATAACAAGGGTATCGATACGCGCTAGTTTGGCAGGAGGCTTTAATCGGTTAAACATTTTATTTTTCACCTTATTGCCCCTAAGGCCCGTATCGTCAGTCGACCCTACAATTATAGGGCGCGTTTATGACCTCCCTGATTGTCATAATCCTTTCTCTCCTTCAAAAATTTCTAGATTACACTCCTATTGTGAAGATACGTTTTCTTTTTAAATTGTAGGAAATTTCAGGCTGATAAAACATGATATAACTCAAAAGCAAGCACAATTTGATGCTAATATGTATATGTTTGTGACATAACCTCAAAATAGAGTTTTGACACGGAGAAGTAGAAAACTATGACAATCAAGGAGGCCATAAAGGCGCCCTACAATTGTAGGGACGACTGACGATACGGGCCTAAGTTATTCTCAGGGTCACGGAAAGAGCGGTTTTTGGTAGTCATAGTAGCCCAACCCAAAACGACTACACTAAAGGAGCAGACGTAAATCCATCACCGCGGTAGTTCGGAAGATGATCTCCGACCTATATTTCAGCGAATCGAATTCCGTCATAACTCACCTGACAATATCTTTGGAAAACACCTTGTCCCGACGGCACGGTACGCCATATCTGCCTCTACCGTCTGCCATCCCGAAGGTGTCCTAAAAATTACCATATTCGATCGTGCACAGTCGATGTTGCCACTTGCGGGATAATGCTTATATATTCATATTTCGCTTGCGCTAGAATGTAGAGCAACTTAACACTGAGAGAGTAAACAATTTTCTTGCCACGTACGAGGGCTCATCCCTATGCTCCACATCGTTTGTTTTCTGCAGGTGCTTATTTGATGAATGTTATTGACAGTTAAGCGAGTAATCTCAGTGCGCTATGGGAATATTAAGCTGACATAATCAAACGGTGCTGTCGAAATTTTGGTGCGGATAGACATAGAGTGATATTTAACAGTAGAGAGTGACTGCCACAAGGTTCTGTCCTAGACCCCATAATCTTCCTCACCTATTTTTTTATATTTTATATTATTAATTATAGGTACAAAACCATCCTATTGTTTGCTCAGGTTATTTATTATTATATATTATTTTTGGCTCTTAGGTATTATTCCATTATTTGATAACATACTCGTCAAATGCAAACAATTAAAAAAAATTGACTTACCACTAACTGACTCAGCGCTTCACCTGGTGTGTGAAAGTTTATTGAACGTATGAAAAAAATCCACTTATAAATAGGGAGCACAATTTTGATACATACATTGTTTTCTTTTTAAAACCCACACTGCACTTTTTTGTATTTAAAGAAGGTGGTCAAAACGTCGTCCTCCACTTTCCACACAAGCTTCTTTACGACAAACCCTTCTTACCCTAGGTCCGCGAAGTTGACCATTTATTATTTCAGCCGCATTAAAAACTTTTTCGCGAAATTGTGCTTCAGTTGTTATTGGACCAACCCCATAAACCATCCCTTTAAGTTCTCCCCAATACCAGAAATCCATCGGATTGAGGTCAGGAGACCTTGCTGGCCAGTTTCGAGTATCAGGAGCATTTCGACTGATTCAGCGATTCGGATAATGTTCATTCAAATACTGAATGACGTCTCTAAAAATGTGTGGTGGTGCCCCGTCATGAAGAAACCACAAATTCTGTCTCCGTTGTAATGGCATGTTGTCTAGTGTCTGTTACAAAAGTTCTGGTAGGTTATTGGCTAGAAAGCTAAGGAATTCTTCTCCTGACAACTATGGGGGTAACTCGAAACGGCCAATTACCTGATCGTCAAGAATACCAGCCCAAATATTTATTTTAAAACGTTGTTGGAAGTGACCTTCACGAATGAGGATCTTCTTGAGTACCTAGTATGCAAATTTAATATTCCGTCTCGCGTAGAAGTACATTCGTCCTTCGCTAGAATGTTTCTAAAAAAATCCGGATTTTAAATGTTTTTGTGCAAAAACCACTGACACGATCGTTAGTCTGCGAGGATAGTCTTCTGGTAACAAGGCCTGCACTCGTTGCACATGGTAAGGATAAAGCAAATTTTCCCGTAGGATTCTATGGCCTATGGTATGCGATAGTCCTACGCGGCGGCCTAATTCCCTAGTGCTGATATCTGCATTGATTTCCACGATATTTAAAATTTATTCCTCCTGCTCTACAGCAATCTGTCTTATACGAGTGCGAATATTAGTGGGCTGAACACTTCCTGTATCTCGAAGTCTTTGGTACACTTGCACAAATGTCCTTCTGTCTGGGTGTACTCGTTGGCAAAATCTGTCGCTATGAATTTGAGCTGCAAGATTTGAATCCTGACGAACGTCACCGTAAACTAACAACATGTCGGCGACCTCTTGATTCGAGAACATTGTAAATAAACACGACGACGTACACGAACAAAAACAAAACAGCACGCCCGATTCCCGATAACTAACCACTGCTACCGTTTGCGATCGATTGCCGGTTCGATAAGAGTGATGACGACGCGCTGTTGTCATGTATGTTTTAAATATTTAATTTAGTGAAACTTAATTACTTACTGACTATAAATTTTGGCTTAACTTAGAAAAACTTAATACCATTTATTTTTTAATTACCCAATTTGAAAACGTTTTAGATCAGATTATAAAAATTAGTAAGATTGTGGTGATTGTGGTCGGTATAAAGAACTTAAAGTTGTAAACTATTTAGACAAAAATCTATTGACTATTGGACCATGGGTCATATGAACTTGTTGACTTGTTTTGACTCCGTCTATTACCCATTTCAATAATGACTACCATAACGTTTACACCCTGTATAACTAACTGTTTTAAGAAACTATACCTAATTTTAATCCTCAAAAACAGACATTCGAATGTACCTTTATTTGTAATACAAACACTTTTTCATGATTTTATTTAATATTTCAACCGACATCACTGATATTGACACGTTTGCACCAAACATGAAGGTTTACTCTAACTGGTCGAATTATTCGTCGAATTTCATTGTTTGTGCATTCCGCTGTAAATGTGGCGCATATTGAGATTGGCAACAGTGCAAGAACTAACAGAACAGTCTATGCGTTTACACTAACCTCCTCGCGTTATTTTAAGGACATGCAAATAGAATCTTAGGAGATATGTACACTTTCATTTAAATAATTGATTTGTACCCGAATCTCGATGGCGTTGCCGCCATCAGGCCTCGAAATAGAATTGAATTAAAACCGTCTGTATTTCATCAACGTAGATTGAACTTCTGCTAAGAAGGTATGGTCTGTCTGGTCATCCTTGGCTCCCATGTAATTATAACAATTTTTTTGAAATAAATAGTAACTAATAAACAAATGAATAAATAGCGTTTATTATTAACAGTTAAGGAAACCATTTACACGACAATTCTGAAAAAAGATAAATCAAACTAACAAAGATATTTCAAGTTAGTCTTGTATAGTAAAAAATAAATTTTTTAAAAACTCAAACGGCCATTTCGGCAACATATCTAGCAACGAAGGAAGAATCCACAGCCCAAGAGCGAGAAGTTGGCCTCTTGGTTCTGCCTGCCGCCTTCCAAGGAGATAAGAGTAGCAGGTAAGAGCCAAAATTCCTTTTCGCCCCATCCAAATTGATTTCCCTGTATAGGAGATCTTATTCTGAAAAGTTGTGATTTTATGACATTATCAGACATCATCAGCGAGCTAAATAACTTAAGAATCAATAGTACTGATTCAGAATCAGAATCCGAAGAAATGGCATCCCCAGAAAACAGCTTATAAATGTTACGCATGTTTGTAGACACAATACCAAATTTTGATGGTAATTTCAGTACACTACCAAGCTTCATTTCATCATGTGATTATCTATTTGACACATTCAACACTTCTGAAGAAACGGATCAATCAATAATTGCAAATAATGGAGATTCTGATGAAGATATTCTTCAGTGTCTACAAGACGGCGATAACCGCGAAATAAATATTGAAGACTTACAAGAACTAGAGGAATTTCTCACCCCTGACAACTCTTACAAAATACAAGTAATTTGGATACCCAAATTGTACCCCCTCAACCAAATGATGACAGTATTACAGTCCATACATCACTAGGAAACCCCATATTAGAGATACCCTTCACTGAATATGTTACTAACAAATTTTCTAATCAGATAATTATTGAACAGAAATCAACTTGTCGATATCATATTGTATGGACTAAGCCCTCCGAAAATGTCAATAAATTACAGTTACAGCTTAGCAATAACATAGAGGAAGAAATCATAAAGCTTTTCAAAGACCATGTTGATCCAAACAAAGTATATTGCATTTTTTTCAAAGGTTCAAAAATTAAAGATTTAGATCTCCAGATTAGCAAAATACTACCTTTGTATTTCAAAAACCACGCATACAAACTTTATTTGCCCAATCAGCTTGTTAGAGATGTTTCAAAGAGAGACAAAAAGGATTGATAGATGATTACAATTCTACAATTTTATTATGAAGCTCTAATCAGGTACAGATCAAAGCAAAATTGTATCATCTCCAAAATGCGATGAATGCAACTGTAGGAAGCTTGACAGCTTATCTCCACGCTGAAAATATTTTACAGCAACTTAATCGAAATTGTCATAATTTGATTACATTTATATACGTATATACTAAGTGACATATAAATCCGAACACCCAGTTTAAATGGTTTTATTTTAATAAAATTTTGTATAAGTACTTAATGAAGCATAATAAGTAAATGATAAAAATTTCAAAATGATTGCACTGCTTTAAAGCCCTTTGACCTTTAATAATGTGTGAATGCACCCTGATGTGCTACGCATTCTCCAACGCGCCTAGGCATGCTTCTGATCAGGTGGTCAGTGGTTCTAGAACTTCGTGGATATAACGCTGCGCGTTCATGTTACCTCTGATGAAGATTAAAGGTGACCTGGAACCATAAGCTATAGCACCCCAAACCATAACTCCAACGAATGAGAAGTTTTGGCTTGTTTTCATACCGGCCACACTGGGTCCTCCCTTTCACTCGAGAACACCGACGTAATCGCCTTGAGTGGTGCAGACGACGGTCACTCTGGGATCAGGAATGGAACAGTATTGTCTTTAGTGACGAGTCTCGATTTTGTTTAGGCATGCACGATGGTCGTGCCAGGGTTAGAAGGCGACGTGGTGAAAGGAGGAATCCACAGTTTTTTGTTGAAAGACATGTTCATCACACTGTTGGAGTTATGGTTTGGGGTGCTATAGCTTATGGCTCCAGGTCACCTTTAATCTTCATCAGAGGTAACATGAACGGGCAGCGTTATATCCACGAAGTTCTCGAACCCCATCTTTTACCCTATCTTGACACCCTGGCAGATCCAACTTTCCAACAAGATAATGCCCGACCACATGTTGCAAGAGTCACAATAGACTTCTTTCAACATAATGATGTCACATTGTTACCATGACCACCAAGATCTCCCGACTTATCCCCAATTGAGCACGTGTGGGATATGATGGGTAGGAGATTGCTCAATTTGCAACGTCCTCCTCAGACTCTAGAAGCACTTCGAGAGGAGTTGGTGGTTGCCTGGAATGAGATACCACAGGAGGACATTGACCACCTGATCGGAAGCATGCCTAGGCGCGTTGGAGAATGCGTAGCACATCAGGGTGCATCCACACATTATTAAAGGTCAAAGGGCTTTAAAGCAGTGCAATCATTTTGAAATTTTTATCATTTACTTATTATGCTTCATTAAGTACTTATACAAAATTTTATTAAAATAAATCCATTTAAACTGGGTGTTCGGATTTATATGTCACTTAGTATATAATTTGAAGGACGCTATAATGTTTTCAAAATTGAACACTTTACATAGTTCTATCATATCAGTATTTAGTAAAATTATATGGTAAAAAGACCAAATACCAAATTTTCAATCATACTATTTAAGTAGCTGATCCACAAATTACATTTACTGATAATATCTTGTTTTCTATAAGAGTTCCTATATTAACTAATGAAAAATTCCATTTTTTCCGTCTATACACAGTTCCTATTAGAAATTCAACCATGTCAAGGATGACCAGAAATTGAAAATGTCTTCTTCTGCAAGAATCGACAAGAACCCAACCAAGGTTGTCTAAACGAGTTACTGAGGAAAGCCGAATATTCTAAATGCCAATTCACAAGGTTACAAGTATCCAGTCCTATTGTTGAAACGATATAAGCAAAACACATTTTGGTCATTCGCGCTGACCAGCCGATCACAGCAGTCAAGTTGTGTGGTACTCAACAACCACTTCTTTTAGAAACGCCCAGTTTCGAAATACCCGAAAATTGTGGAATACAAATCAACTCGTCCAAGTTCTGGAACAAGGAGGATCAAATCAAAGGTAACCCCTTGGTCCTTCCAGAAATAAAATTTTGGAATGCAAGATCGAACTTTGTGTCCAAGAAAGCTTCAATCCTCAAGACTATTGACCTCGACAAGATCAAGATAAGAGAAAGCAAGTTTTCTTCAAATGCAAGAAGAAGCCGCTATCGATCCCTTAATTTGGTTTTGTAGCAGCTCAGTTTTTACTATTTTGGTATATTTGGAGAAAACAAATCCAGAAGAAAAATGACCAACCCCAAGATGGAGGAAGGAAGATGAAGAAAATCCCCAATCCAGTGAAGAGAGGCCCAAGGCAGATGTAAAAGGAAAAAAGCCTCCTGAAAACAGAAAACGTTCCTATTCAGTTTTCAGACTAGGTGGAGAGGAGTTATGATGCAGAAAAGGATGCACGTGAATTAAGAAAATCCTGAGGAAAGCATCCCAGCCCGAAATGATAAATAGAAGTAGTTCATGCTTTCCGTAGATTCCTCGTTTGTTCGTCGAATTGCACATTTTATCCATTGTAAAATATTTCAAGTTATATTGTCAGTCTTGTAAAGTAAAAAATAAATTTTTTAAAAACCCAAACGGCAATTTCGGCAACATATCTTGTATATGTTCAGCAATAAAAGGTTTTGACGGTACGAGTTTGAATATATGGGACATTAAAGTTAGCTGAGACACAAACCGCCCGTTTAAAAAAATATTGTTTTTTAACGAGGAACTCCAAGTTATGACACTGCCCTTATCGACTGCTGTGCACAATTTCTTCAGCTCCGCCTATGTATCAAGTGGATAGAAATTGGATTTTTCGAAGGAATATTCCGATATCATGCCAAATGAAAGAATATAAGTTCTGTGATCTCAGCACGTAGGGCTTAATTGAAGACTCTACAAAAATATTTAATTAAGGCTGAAATTGGATTTCAATGAGGCTTCGCCTTATATTTTATTCCTTTTAATAGGCACTGATAGCATGGCGCGTTTCTTCTCGTACCTTTATATTACCTTTTCAGTTGGCTCTCCACTCCGATTATATTGGAATCTATTATGAAAAGGCACTACAGCTATTTGCAGCAGGCAACATCTAAAAAAAGTCATTACTTCTTACCTCCTTTACCAATAGGCAGCGACGTGCAACGGATATAGTAATAGGGATAATAACAATCGCAATAATAATAAGGAGTAAGCAGGGCGTGGAACGTTCAGACCGATCAGTTTCAGTCATTGTTGGAGCCCACGGGCTCTTAGGAAGGGGACAAAGACCAACTTGTCACAAATCCCATGACAATCATCTGTTGCTGAAAGGTACTAGGGTGAATCGCTTTGATCTCGGGTCAAGCTGTCACAACAGGGCAAGACGAAAACACTGAAATATAATCATAATAATAATAAACGGCTTTATTGGCTTAGCTAGGCAAAGCTATACAGGGTGTTCCAGTTTATTGTTGCATAACTTTAAGATTCGATAGAACTTTTAAAATTAATGCATAAAGTCTATAGTTTTACTGTAGCCGCTAGAGGGCGCTCTCTACTGTACCTGTAGTGTATTAAAATGGCCGAAAAAAATTTCTTAATGCAATTTTTTGCTTTTTGAATAAAAAAACTGATTCTTCGCACTTTTCAACATAAAAAAGCTCTCTTGTGAATTTTCGTTATAAATAGCCGTTTTTGAGATATTTCGATTTTTAAGGTTCGATGCATTTTTAATTATTTATGATAAAATAACGTTAAAAAGTCCGTATCTCGATAATTTTTAGAAGTAGGCTGTGCCTGCAAATATTTTTGGAATTGAAAGCAGAATAAGGTTAAACGTCAATTAGTTGACAGTTAGTTTTGTTGTCTGTTGAAACCTGAAACGTTTTTTTGCAATTGTGAATGCACGAAATTTAGTTTCTTTTACCTGTTTTTTTTTGGTAAGTTTTATAAAAATGTCATTTTTATTCTCCAATCAAGAGTTAGCGGATATTTATTTTGTGACTGGCTTTGTAAATGGAAACGCAGCAGAAGCAGCCAGAGAATACGCACGAAGATTTCCAAACAGACGACATCGAACTCGCTCAGTATTTATAAGAGTGCATCGCCAAATAATTGAAAATGGTTTTGGAAATCTCCAAAGGGATCAAAACATAAATGTTCGTCAGCGCAGATTTACCCGTATGATTCTGCGTGAGTTTGATAGAGATCCGACCACAAGTGTTAGGAGAGTTTCTGGTGCCTTGGGAATTTCAGCAAGCCATGTTCACCGTGTTCTTAGAAATGACCATAGACGTCCTTACCATTTGCAACCTGTGCAAGGACTACAGCCAGGGAACGGAGAACGAAGAATCACATTTTGTCAGTGGATTCTTGATAGAACTGATAATAATAGGGAGTTTTTCAGTAACGTTTTATGGACCGTTGAGTCATGCCTCACTAGACGTGGAGTGGTAAATTTTCATAATCAACATATTTGGTCGCATGAAAATCCGCATGCAGTTCGGGAAAGAAATTTTCAGCATGAATTTAGTGTGAACGTGTGGATTGGTATCTACCGTAATCGACCTTTTGCCTGCAAGGTTAAATGGTGCGACCTTCTTGGAATTTTTAAAGGCTGAACATGCAAATATGTGGGATGATGTTATGTTAGATTTAAGAAGATTGGCCTGGTTCCAGCTTGATGGTTGTCCAGCTCATTATTCGAGAATAGTTAGAAACTGGCTGGACGACAATTATCCAGAAAGATGGATCGGCCGTGGAGGACCAGTCGCCTGGCCTCCACGATCCCCTGACCTAAATCCATTAGATTTCTTTGTGTGGGGATTTCTAAAAGAAAAAGTGTGCCAGACCCCCGTAACCACAAGAGATATGATGCTAATAGACAGAATCAGGAATGCATGTGATGAAATAAGGCCTTATTTGAATAATGCTATACCACGTTCGATCATTCGTAGATATGAATTGTGTATTGAACAATTGGGTTTACATTTCGAGCAACTACTTTAGATTTTGTATGTTTGTCCTAACTATCCAATAGCATTTTAGTTGTAATTAATTCAATTTGTTAAAAACCAATTAAACAAATTAATATTCTGTTTTTTGTGTTTATTTGGAGTTAGGAATTATTGCTGTGTTTAAAAACACAGTCTAAACGATCATCTTAATTACTTGTAATGCCCAAATCGAAAATGTAAAAAAAATATTATTTTCCATTAATAATTAAAAATGCATCGAACCTTAAAAATCGAAATATCTCAAAAACGGCTAACTATAACGAAAACTCACAGGACAGCTTTTTTATGTTGAAAAGTGCGAAGAATCAGTTTTTTTATTCAAAAA